TGTAGATGAGGGATATCATTGCTGATGTCAGATGGATCTTGGCTCAAAGCAAAGAATACCAGAAAGATGTTTACTTGTGTTTTATTGACTATACAAAAGCATTTGATTGTGTGGATCATAACAAATTATGCATAATATTGAGAACTGGAATTCCAGAACACTTGATTGTGCTCATTAGGAACCTGTACATAGACCAGAAGACTGTTGTTCAAACAGAACAAGGGGATACTGCGTGGTTTAAAATAAGGAAGGGAGTGTGTCAGGGTTGTGTCTTTTCACTATACTTGTTCAATCTGTATGCTAAGTAAATAATCCGAGAAGCTAAACTATAGGAAGAACATGGCATTAGGACTGGAAGAAGAGTCATTAACAACCTGTGATATGCATACAACATAACCTTGCTTGCTGAAAGTCAGGATGATGTGAAGCACTTAATGATGAAGATTAAAAAGTACAGTCTGCAGTATGCGTTACACTTCAACATAAAAAAAACAAAAGTCCTCGCAACTTGATCAATAAGCAGCATCACAATAAATGGAGAAAAGATCGAAGTAGTCAAAGATTTCATATTACTTTGTTCCACAATCAACATCCATGGAAGCAGCAGTCAAGAAATCAGACAGCATATTTCTCTGGCAAATCTGCTACAAAAGAACCCTTTAAAGTGCTGAAGAGCAAAGATGTTTCTTTGAAGATTAAGGTGCATCTTACCCAAACCATGGTATTTTTAACCACTTCATATGCATGTGAAAGCTGGACAATGAATAAGGAAGACCAAAGAAGAGTTGATGCTTTTGAGTTGTAGTGCTGGCAAAGAATATTGAAAGACAATACTATCAACCAACTTGAATTCATAGACATATACAGAACACTCCATCCAACAAAAACACAATATACATTCTTTTCCAGCACACATGGAGCATTCTCAGATGAGAGTACAAATCAGCCCAAAAAACAAGCCTACATACATTTAGAAATATTGATATACTACAAAATATTTTCTAAGATCACAATGCTAAAAAATTAGAACAACAACAGGAAGAGCAAAGGAAAAAAAGAAAAAAATCAAATACATGTAAACTGAATAACACCCTACTTAAAAACTACTGGGTTATAGAAGCTGTAAACAATGAACTTAAAAAGTTTCTTGAATTGAAAAACATGAAAATGGAACATAGCAAAATCTTTGGTACACAGCAAAAGCAATACTCAGAGAACAATTTATAACAATAAACAAATAGAACAAAAAGAAGAAAGAGCCAAAACAAACACCATAACCTCACATCACCAACAATTAAAAATAGAGCAGCAAACAGTGCCTCTAGTCACCAGATGAAAGGAAATAATAAAGATTCAAGCAGAAGTAAATGAAACAGGAAAACAATAGAAAGAATCAACAAGACTAGAAATTTGTTCTTTGAATGGATTTGTAAAAGTGACAAACCACTGGCAAATCTAACAAAGGAAAAATATGTAAATAACAGAAATAAGAAAGAAAATAGGCACTGTAATAACATAATCACCTGAAATAAAAAAAATGGTAACAAAATACTACAAAGAAAGGTATTCCAATAAATTTGAAAACCTAGAAGAAATGGAAAATTTTTAGAAACATACTATCTAGCTAAACTAACACAAACTGAGGTGGCAATTTTGACTAGGCACATAACAAAAGAAGAAATTGAACAGGTCACTTTAAAAAAAAAAAAGTCCTGGCCCAGATGGCTTCACTAGTGAATTCTACAAAAACTCATAGAAAAACTGATAATCAATTCTACTAAACATATTCCAGAATACAGAAAAGTAAGGAATACCGCCAAATTAATTTTATAAAGGAAGCATATCGTTGATACCAAAGCCAAATAAATACAGGAAAATTATATACCAAATGCCTCATGACCACAGACTTAAAATTTCTCAATGAAATCCTAGTCAACAGACTCCAACAACATAACAATAAAATAGTACATCATGACCAAATGGGATTAATACTAGGTATGCAAGGATGATTCAACATTGGAAAAATAATTGATGTAAGACTTTCAAAAACAGGCATTAGAAATACCATATGATCCAGCATTCCACTTCTATGTGTATGTCCTAAAGAAATAAAAGCTGTAACAGAAACAGATATATACACCTCCATATTCATTGCAGAATTATTCAAAATACCAAAAAGATGGAAACAACCTAAGTGCCCATCAACAGATGAATAGATAAATAAACTATATATATATATACATGTTTATATATGTGTGAATGTGTCTCTGTATACCTGTATACAAAAAATATGTGCAAAGTATTAATAGTAGTTATCTTAGGATTAATAGTATTATTGCTATTCTTATTATTCTTTTTAAGAGAATTTTCTATGTTTTTATAATGAGTAGCTACAAAATTAAGAGAAAAAGGTTTTAATACAAAAATAACACTGGTTCCACTAAGAAAAACAAATGTGTAAATAAGAAAATAAAAAGCTTTTTTGTTTATTACCCTTAGAGAGTACTCTGGTAGTTATTTTTCCTTTAAACCTATCTATCTGTCTATCATCTATCTACTTAATTTTCTTCTCAAAATTGATTACACCACTGATGCTCAAAGGATGGTATATAGACCAGCATTATTGACACTACCTGGAAACTTACTAGAAACACAGATTCTTAGGCCCCACGCCAAATTTATTGAATTTGGATTTGCATTCAATCATTCCCAGATATTTCAGATGCACATTGAAATTTGATAAACAGAAGATTAAATCCAAATTTAGTTTTGCACCTTTTTAAATTAATTTTTTAATATGTATATTTTCCTCATGTTAAATACTTTTCTGAATGTGTTTTCTAAATATAGATTATAGTATTCAATAATATGAGTTTTTCTCTTTTTTTCAGCATTATAAGTAAAAAACTCTTCTATAAATCTTTGCACTCACCTCTGATTTTTTTGTTTTATTTATTGTGATGTGGGTGAAATTTTACAGAGTAAATTCCATTTAACAATCCATACACACTCTGTTTTGTGATATTAACTGCGCTCCCCACACTATTACAGAATTTTTCCCACTTCTCTGCACCCATACCTTCCCTTCATTTGTCTTAATCGAACTACTTAAGCAAACTGGTAAACATTTTAAAACAATACAGTTTTTCTTACTATCATGACTAATTCTCTTGTAAATAGTCTTGTACATGAAATTTAATGAAATATCTAATTATTTTTCTGAATCTAGTAATTCTGGGGTAGAGAACATGAACTTTGTGAAAACTCGTTACACCGTATCACATAATATCCAGAAATGTTCAACCAGTTTACACTTTTGCCTAAACCTTATGAATACATTTTTCTCTTTAGATTCTCACCAACAATAACTATTACTGGTATACTTAATCTTTAAAATTTATTGATCAAAATTATACTACATTTTAACTTACATTTAAATTCACTAGACGAAATACTAAGAAGGATCTCTCGTGGTGCAGTGGGTAAGGCAGTTGGCTTCTAACCAATAGGTCGGTGGTTCAAACTCACCAGACTCTCCACAGGAGCAAGATGAGGCAATCTATTTCCACAAAAATTTACAGCCTTGGGAACCCAATGGCAGTTGCTTTGAGTCAGAATGAATCGATGGCAGTGGGTTTTTGTTTAGTTTAGTTTTGTTTTTTGTAACACTAAGGAGCTCTGGTTGTGCTGTGGTTAAAGTGCTTGGCTGTTAATCAAAACCTGGGCAATTCAAACCCACCAGCAGCTGTATGGGAGAAAGATGTGGAGTCTGCTTCCCTCAAGATGTGTAGTCTTGGAAACCCTATGGGGCAGTTCTACTATGTTCAATAGAGTCACTATAAATAGGAATCTGACAGCCAAGGGTTTGGTTTGGGGGTTTAGAGTAAATAGTTTTTGTATATTTTCTGGACAATTCTATTTCTCCTTTTGTCAATTGTGTGTTTTTATCTCTTCTAAAAATTTGATCAGCATATCTGTGTTTTGAAAGCAGTATATCTAAAGCAGGTGGGGAGACAAAAGATTTATACACATTGCTGGAATCACAATAAAGTTATAAAAAAAATTGTTTTGCAAAATAAGCCACCTACATTTCTCAAGAGGCTTAACAAACATTAAACATACTGATCCAACAATTTTAATTCTCACACTAATTATAAATAAGAAAAAACCTCTTTGTACTGATAAATATTATATATTGTTATTTTAAAAAGTGAAAATGCTGCCTTGAAATGTATTCTCAAATATTTGAAGAAATAAAAGTTAACAGCGAACTATGAAAATAAGTACACTTTGGATTATATATTATAATATTGTTGTTAGGTGCTGTCAAGTCAGATCCCAATCATAGGGCCCCTGTGTAAACAGAAGAAAACACTACCTAGTCCTGTGCCATTCTCAAAATCAATGCTGTGCTTGAAACTATTGTGGTAGTCATTCTGTCAATCCATCTTGTTAAAGGTCTTCCTCTCTTTTTTTGACCCTCTACTTTACCAAGCATGACGTCCTTCTGCAGAGACTAACCCACTGCCGTCAAGTTGTATCCAACTCATAGTGACCCCTCCTTGGGGTATCACTACAGAAGTAGATTGCCCAACCTTCCTTCCGAGGAGTACTAGTGGGTTTGAACCTCCAGCTTTCTGGTAAACAGTCAAATGCCATAGGCACTATGCCACCAGAGCTCCCTAGTCCCTCCTAATAACAAGGCCAAAGTACACACACACACACACACACACACAAGCACACAGAAGAGTATTATTGGAGAACATATTCATAATGAAATTTTAAGGTTTGAAATGAATATTTAATCCATCCTTTTGCCTCTAAGTGGGATTGAAAGGAATGATCCACTCTATAAGAGGTCTGTGTTTCTTCCTTAGGTATTTCTGACTTATTTTGCCAAATTTGATTTAATGATCAGTCAGGATGTGCTCCTTAATGTCTTGCTAAAAGTATATCTATCTGAATCCCCCATAATCCTCTTTATTTTGCCACTGAAAACATTATAAATACTTTCTTAGCTTTCTTGTCACAACTGCCTTTACCTCCTTATTCTTCAGGCTGTAGATGAGGGGATTCAGCATGGGAGTGATCACACCATACTGCACAGAGAAGATCAACTCCAGAGGTGAGCCTGAGGCTGGCATGAGATAGCGGAGAAAAGCTGACCCATAAAAAAAGATCACCGCAGTGAGGTGGGAGGAGCAGGTAGAGAAGGCCTTGCTTCTGCCAGAAGTGGAGCTGATGCTAAGGATGGTGGAGATGATGCAGACATAGGAGAAAAAAATTGAAAGGGAAGTTATAAGCCCATGTGGGATAATGGAGCAGAGCATGACAAGGAAGTTGGTGGAGACATCAGAACAAGACAGAGGGAAGATAGAGGGTAACTCACAGCTGTAGTGGGGGATGATATAGGTATCACAGAAGTCCATTTTCACTGCCAGAAGGACATTGATGAGTGTGTCCAGAAAGCCCAGACTCCATGAGCCCCACACAAGCTGAACACAACGCTGTTTGCTCATCACCTGGTTATAAAGCAGAGGGTGACAAATGGCTGTGTAACGGTCATAGGCCATTGCTGCAAGAAGACAGGCTTCAGTCCCTCCAGTGATAATCACAAAGAATATCTGAGCCAGGCAGCCCTTTACTGAAATGGTTTTCTTCTGAGACAGCAGGTTCTCCAGCATCTTGGGCACAGTGACTGAAGAGAAGCAGAGATCAATAAAAGAGAGGTGACTCAAGAAGAAGTACATGGGTGTGTGGAGGTGAGAATCAACCCTGATGACCAGCAGCAGCATCACATTCCCCATCACAGTCAGGATGTAAATAGCCAGGAAGAGCACGAATAGCAGAGCCTGGATCTTGGGGTCAGCAGACAGCCCGAGGAGGACGAACTCAGTGATGATACTGTGGTTTCTCAAGGCCATTTACAAAGTTTTCTCCCTAAAAATGGTACAGAAAAGCATGGCAGTGAAATATCTACTGTTCTCCATCCAATTTTCACATTACATTGATTCTCATTTGATATCACAGTCATCCAAAAAACATCAGCCAGATTTTGTAGCAGTCACTCAGAACAAAAAGATGAATAATGTATGATGACCATATTAAAAAAATCATAGTTCAAGGAAGTCAAAAATAAAAACAAGCAACTAACTCAAAGTGTGATTAACTGTAATGGCAGCTGTAAGTGTGAGTTAGAACAAGTCAGGAATGTTAGCACATCAAATGTTTTTTTTTGTTGTTGTTGTTGTTATGTGCCACTGAGTTGGACCCGACTCATAGCGACCCCTCCTTGGGTTTCTGAGGCCATATCACTACAGAAGTAGATTGCCCAAACTTTATTCCGAGGAGTGGCTAGTGGGTTTGAACTGCCAGCCTTCTGGTTAGCAGTCAAGTGTCTTAGGCATGTAGTTGAACAAAAATTTTAAGTGTCAGTACGATGAGTCAAAGGAGTCAAGGAAAGGAAGCACATTCAGATTGAAGTACCAGTCTAGTCAAAGGATCAGGATTGAGAAATAGCAAGGCATATTTGATAAAACATGGGTATTTCTTAATGGCTGAATCCCAGAACATGGGTAGACAATGTGCTGCTATGAATACAATGTCTTGCTTCCATTCTCAAATTTTGAATAAAGTATAATTATAATAATGAAGTATGATAGCATATACAAAGTACTTTTAAAAAGTCTATACAATATTGCTCTGTGTAAATTATTATTATTATCCTCATTATTGTTTTACATCGTAATTGTATTCAAAGAAACATAATCAGTCTTCAAGCAGGATAATCACCTATCAGGGTTAAAACTGTGTGTGCAACTATTACTGTTGCTTTTTTACTGGAAAGTACATATAAAGTCATTTTAAAATTACTAAAGGTAGTTGCTCTCCATTTCATCCTCCCCAACTGAAGGCATTGGCATTCTGAACCACAGTGAAGCCTTCTTTTTAAAATGACTAAATACCTTAAAGTTACTGAAGCTAATGTCATTCAGAAGTAAAGCTCAACTAGTCTCAAAAGAGGACAAGAGAAAGAGATAATGGATCATCTACCCCAGTACTGAAATCACGTTTTGGGATGGATGTGCACCTTGTAAAGGGCCAGGCATATAGGCAAATAAGAAAGACGGGTTTTCAGTAAGTAGCATCCCAGTGCTCGCCTAATCACCTAATCAGGGTAGGAAAGAGGGAAAGGAGAAGTAGGATTTCAGGAACCCGTGCTCCTAGAATTTTAGTAATTTGCCAGATCACCTAAATTATTATGAAATCACCAGTAGCTGCTGCTTTGGAACCCAAAGGAAGAGTTTCTTAACAAATAATTTTTCTTTGCAGATTCTAAGAAGACTTCTTAAAATAGAGGAGTGGACCCTTTAGTTCTGCATATCTCCGTTGTGTGGATATTTGCATTCACCCGCTCACCTTCATCCTGAGACTCTTCTAGGTATCCAAATAGACTTGGAAAAGTCCAAGTGGACTTTTCCTTGTCCCTTGCCTGTGGTTTTGGCCAAACTTTTCAGTCTGGTTTATAAAATACTCTGCCTGTTTGAACACTGAATTTTAACTATCAGCTCCAGCTGTGATCTGTTGTGCTAGAATTAGACATTTTTGTCCCCTGTGTGATTTATCGGGAGCTCTGGTAAGGTAGTGCCTAAGGCATTTGACTGTGAATCAGAAGGCTGACAGTTTAACCCCACCAGCCATTCCTCTGAAGGAAGACTGGGCAATCTACTTCCGTAGAGATTCTGCCTCGGTAATTCAAGGAGGGATCATTCGGCGGCAGTGAGGTTTCTTTATTTATTTTTATTTATTTTATTTTATTTTTTTTTGGTATGATTTACCATTATAGCCAAATCTATTTCCTGGCCCTTGCCATTCCTTTGCTACCTAGTACCCAATAATCCCAAATAGCCAAGGGGAACTTTCAGTTCCTACACTTAAACTGTTCAGCCATCAACACATCCATATTCCCTTCTCATAACCCAGTCCATATTACCTGAACATCTTCTCCAAAAGACAATATACTCTTCCTGATGTTGCTGCAGGACCTTGTATTTGATTCAATTATTAAGAATAAAAATTGTGGAGAATGTATTTTCTATACCTAGATTTATGATTTTGGTTGTAAATTCTGTTGATAATGAACTATTTTCTTGAATTCTGCACTATTGAAGTGAAATAGCCATATGATAGTTTTTTCTTTCAAATGGTTGCAAATACCATCACCCTGTCATATCTTCATTTGTTCCTTTGCTTTTCTTTCTCCTGCAATATATAGGCTACCATGGTCTAACTAACTTTCAGAGCAAGTGTGTCTAAGGAGCTTGTGGGTCGACTCATAGGCATTGGTATCCCAAAGGGATGGCTGAAGCAATGCAAGTTATTCCCTGTGGTCATAACTTGAAGTTAGACACTGTAGTTAATAATTAAGAAATTTTATAAATACCAATAGGGTTTTATTAAGTGTGGTCTTTGAAACATCTTGGTTGAAGCAATGACTAGGTTAATCAATTTGTGAACTCTTTATTAAAAAAAAAAAATTCATAAGAGACAAAGAAAGCGATGGGTATTTAACTATTCTCTTTGAAAGAAACAAATACTTCTCAGTTGACAAAGTGTTTTGTATTCTCTCTGTGATTCTCAGCCAGTTTCACACAGGTAAATTTGCTATGTGCTTGTGCATTTATGATCAAATGAGTAAATAATAACAATAAATTTAAAGGAAAGAAATTCAATAACCAGTCATTTGCCTAAACCAAGCAATCATTTCTTTATGCTATGATCAATGCATATGTATTTCAAGTTACATATTAGCTCTATAACAAATCGCATGTTTAGTGATTGAGATTTATTTAGAGAAGTATTTACTTAAGCATATCATGTTTTGAGTTACAATACTGTTTTTCTTATATGCCATTGAGTACTTGACTGCTTACCAGAAGGCTGGAGGTTCAAACCCACCAGCCACTCCTCAGAAGGAAGGTTGGGCAATCTACTTCTGTAGAGATACTGCCTCGGAAACCTAAGGAGAGGTTGCTATGAGTCGGGTCTGACTCGACAGCACATAACAACAACAACAACATTGAGTTGGTTCTGACTCATAGTGACCTTATGGACAATAGAAGAAAACACTGCCTGATCCTATGCTATCCTCACAATCATTGCTGTATTCAAGCCTATGGTTGCAGCCACTATGTCAATCCATCTCATTGAGGGTCTTCCTATTTTTCATTGACCTTCTACTTTACCAAGCGTTTTGGTTACTTAGTGTCATTATAACAGAAATATACCACAAATGAGATGGCTTTCACAAACAGGAGTTTATTCTCTTACAGTTTGGAGGCTTTAAGTCTGAGTTCAAAGTGCCAGGCACTAGGGGCTGGGTGAAAGCCCCTCAACTTTGGGCTTCAGCTCTGCCTCATGCTCCCTGCCCACTGAAGCTGGAGGCTTACTTTTCTTCATTCAGACAGCTGCTGGCTGCTTAGACTGACAAACCCAAGGTTGACAAGTGAAAAGGCATAGTTCCAATGCTGCCAAACAACATGGCAGGCCATTGATTCAAGTTCCATTGAAAGTCCCAAGGTCAGCAGAGCATGGCAGGCTGCTCAACAATGACACAGCTACATGCAGGTTCAAGCATGCCATAAGCTAGAGACCGTTCCCAAAACTGCTTCTTATATATAAGAAGCAGATCACATCCCTACAGCAGCTGCTCAGCTTCTTGTGGTAGATCCCACCATGGAGTTCATTGCCAGTATCATCATGGGAAATAACTACCACCAGCTGCCCAGCTGCTCAACCAGGCCCAGCCAAGTTGACACACAACTTTAACTACCACACCAAGCATGATGCCATTGTTCAGGGACTGGTCCCTCATGAAAACATGTCAAAAGTATGTGACATGTAGTCTTGCTATGCTCGACTTCTAAGGAAAATCCGGGCTGCATGTCTTCTAAGACAGACTTTTTCTTTCTTCTGGCAGCCCATAGTGTATTCGATATTCTTTACCAACATCATCATTTAAATGCATCAATTCTTCTTCATTCTTCCTTATTCATCATCTAAGTTTTGCATGCATATGAGACTATTGAAAATGTTATGGCATGGATCAAGTGCCTCTTAGTCCTCAAAGTGACATCTTTGCTTTTAAACACTGGAAGAGGGTCTTTTGTGGCAGATTTCCCAATGCAAAACAATATTTCAGCTTAGCTAGTAAAGAATATCTACCTTGAGCATTGTGTTCTTTTAAAGATCCATCAAAAGTGCTTCAAATTAACATCAACAATGCAAAAGATTAGTTAGGAATCTTAGGTAAGCAGTGAATTTAGGTTATTTACTGGGAAGGAACAATTCAGAAAAGGATGTTGAGAATGAGTGTACAATTCGAAGAATGTAATTAATGTCACTGAATTGTACATTTAGAAATTGTTGAATTGGTTTATGTCCTGCTGTGTATATTCTCAACAACAACAAAAAATAAAATAATTAAAACAAAAAAAATAATAATAATAGAATACAAAACACTCTTGTCAATTTCTTTGTTGGTAAAGAAAAAGAAGAAGATATGAGGACAGAAATACTAACTGGCCTTTATGTAAGTAGGATAACTACTTACTGAAGAAATTAGCTAAATGTGAACTCATATTAGGAGGAAGAATTCAGAAATAGAGAAAGGAGGAAAAGAAAATGAGGAAGACTGTGGAAATGAACCACTTACTGTGGAATCCTGGCTCCCACTAAAAATCTAGGGTAGACAGCGTTCTAGGATGGTCCTCTACAAATGTGACACATAGGAACTCTCCTTCTTCTTCTGGGCAAGCCTTGTTGTTGTTAGTTGCCATGAAATTGACTCCAGCTCATGGGAACCTTACATATAACAAACAAAATGTTGTCCAGACCCGCACCATCCTCAAATCTGTGGTATATT